CAAGGATATAAATAATCCTAGGAAATTGTAAACTGCAAATGTACTAAAATTGAAGCTTCTGTTACTTCTCTTGGAAAAGTAATTATGCTTTGTGTGCGTCTGTGTTTTCACAGCCTTTTGGGCCAATATTGTTTTTCCCATTGTCTAGCTTTCCCATCACAACTTTTCATCTTCCACATATCGTTTGAAAGGCCTATTTTCTCTGCAATTTTTTCTTGAATCTAACAGTGTGATGTTTAGACACCACCAACCAAATCATTATATCATAATCAATAGGCATACTGCAAAACTTGCTGTTCATTTGGGTCAAGAGTGATGTCTTGCCTACTCCTCCCAAGCCATATAAACCAATAATTCCCACATCTTTTTCTTGGAGTAAGCTTCAAACTTTAAGCAATGTTGATTCCAAGCCAACCGTGGACTCAATAGGTCTTACATCCATTGGAGCTACAGGTTGGTTCTCAGCCACCTTGTCAAAAACTCCTTTCTTTTTTTTTTTCTTTAGATCATCCATTTGTTCAAGTTTTCTAGCCACTTGTTGACAAACTTGTAGCTAGACTTAAAAGTCATGGAAAAGCAGCGTGCGAGGCATAATATCTGAGCTTCTTGAGGGATATCTTTTACCAATTCCTCAACTTCTGATATCTTTTGCTGTAGTTCAGCACAGTCTACGCTCCGGTTCACGCCATCCCTTTGCGCTCTCAATTCTTACAAGGAAAGAGTCAGAGCTTTATGATTTTCTTCAAGCTTGCACATGTAACTTGCTTGTCTAACAATGCAATCCCAGCTACAAGAGACTGTATCCTCTATTGAGATTGAGATCGAGCACAAGTTTCCCATGACTTACTACAAAAAAAAAAGAATGGAATTGTGGCTTTGATTAGAATTACTGCTCAACTTGTTGAATTTATGAGTGGTCGGCAGCATGGGCGGACCCACGTCGACACCACTCACTTCTTAAAATATTTTAGTTTTTATATTAATTTCTATTAAGTCCATAGCATCTAACTTTAATCTGTGGATAAGCACGTACCAAACTCTGATTAGATTAGAAAATTAACAGCAAATAATCTTTTCGTTTAGCCATTCATAACAGCTAATAATCTTCCTTAAAGTTAGTTGAAATTGTAACCTAGCACTTAAAGAATGGCTTATTGTACTTGTCATAGGTCACCCTGCAGGTATCTAACATGGGATACGTTATTGGAGTATTATTTTTTCTTCATAGATAAAGATTTTGAGGTGCATACTTGAAAATAACTTTATTTTGTTTCATAAATTTCTTCCAATCTGTCTCATGATTTGAATCCAAAACTTTCATCTAACTTCTAGAGGGTCTTCGAAGTGATTTCAAGTATTGACTTATATCTAATAATAATGTCTATTAATCTTACAATAAAAATAAAGGTGAGGACAAGTAAATAATAACAATAATAATATGAACAGGACTTGTAAGAGACAATATATCAAAACAACAGAGCAATATCAGTAAGGATGTAAATAAATCACACTAATTCCAAAACTTGACAACAAATTAAGTAAAGAAGAGCAAAGCAAACAGATTTAGAGTTAGCAAAGGTGAACCTAATGGCTAATTGGAAGTAATCTTACTACCAAAAAACTCACACCTTTGATATCTTCAGGATTCTCCTTCATTTTCCCATCAGTGGGGTTCGGAGAAAGGCAGAAAAGCATTTTGAGTGGCTTTATTCTTCAATTCTAACGTTTCCCACCACTCCTTTTCTCCTTGAATGCAGATTTGATTTCCCTTAGCACTGTCAGAGTTCAGTTGGGGGGATTCTCTCACAAAGATTTCTGTCAATCAGAAACCTTTGAGGTCCTTCAGATTTTCTGCATTTCAACATTGGCCAAGGCGTGACTCGACAAAAAGGCATTTATTTCGAGCGGTTTCATCTTCCCATTCTAGCTCTTCCCACCAGGACAGCGTTCCTTGAATGCTGATTTTATTCCGCTCTGGGTCAAAGCTAAGCGGGAGCTTCTTCAGTTTTGAGCACTTGAACACGGAGATGTCTGTCAAACATGGAAAGGGTAAGGCATCACTGCATATGCTCCTCAATTGTGGTAGATGTCGTAAATGAAGCTCTTTTAGTTCAGCAAATGGGTTGGGATGTGGAATTCCAACCACATTTTCAGCTTCATTCAATTTTCTCTCACTCATTATTTCTTCCATTTTAGGACAGCAATGAACAGAAAGCATAGTCAGATTTGGAGCAAAAATCAGCCACGTTACATCCCTCAGTCTGCGGCATCGCTCTATGAAAACGCGACCAAGTGCATTAAAAGAAGGAGTATTGGTTTGTGTCATTCTTATTTCCCCAAAGTTCGTTGTTATCTTCATCTCTTCCATGTTATCACAATTAGCAACATGTAGGAACTCCAAGCGCTCCATGTTTGCTAAAGATAAAACATCCAATACCTTTGACTCTGTAAAATTGCGAAGCACTAGTTCTTCAGCGCATCCTTGTAAACTGTGGGAGCTCAAAAATGTTTCAAGAGCAAAAGCACTTTTTATTTCTATACTCAGCATATTCAAGTGTTGCAAGCATTTCAGTTCCTGTATTAGACCTGCATTACCTCCATTCAGGACATTGCCTTCCATCGTTCCGTCTTGATAGTAAACACCAGAGCCAACCATTCTGTATACTTGCAGAATTGAAAAGCTAGTTATCAGTTGCTGTGGGATTCTTTTCAGATTCTCTGTCGAGCTCAAGTCCAAGCATTTGCATTTTGTTAAACTCTTTAGCTTAACTGGCAACTCTTTTATACCTGTACCTGATAGATTGAGATACTCTAGCGAAACCAATTCTGAAATTCTTTCTGGTAATTCCTTCAGATCAGTGTTATCTGACAGGTTTAGAACCCTCAGATTAGGCATGAACTTGAAGAAGCCTTCACTGATCACCTTCAGGTTATTCTTGTTGAGAAATAAAGTTCGAAGATAGGGGCATGTGGGTGTTGACCAAAGATTTGCTATTTGATTTCGCATCAAT